CCGTCGTCGTCGACGCCGTAAGCGTAAGCACAATCGCAGTCGTCGGTTTTGCTGTTTCTGTCGTCTTCGTCGTCGTCGCCATCTTCGTCGTCGGCGTCGTCGTCGGCGGGGTCGTTTGAGTTGTAATGGTCACGTCGCCGTCGACATCGAAGCTAGAATCTTCGGAACCGCTGTCGCCGTCGTCGTCGTTGGGGACGTCGCCGAAGGTGTCGTCGTCGTAGTCGTCGTAGTCGTCGTCGTCGTCGTCGTCGTCGTCGGAGTCGTTGGAGTCGGCGTTGTCGGCGTCGTCGTCGGAGTCGTCGGAGTCGTCGGCGTCGTCGGAGGCGTCTGTGTCGTCAGCGGCGATGTCTCCATCGTGGTCGGAATCGGAAGCGTCGTCCTAGTCGTGATTGGGGTCGTTGGAGTCGTCGTCGTTGCCAGATTCGGAGCTAAAGTCGTCGAAGTCGTCGTTGCTGTCGGAGTCGGAATCGATTTGTCGTCAAATATGTTGGTGTCGGAGTCATCGTCGGAGTCGCTGCCGTCGTCGTCGGCATCGGTGTCTTCGGCGGAATCCTCGGGATCGCCGTCGGAGTCGTTCATCGTCGCCGTCGTCGGCCGTAGTGGGACCGCCCGCATGCGGGCCCACGCCAGTTTCGGCACAGCCCTTACGCGGATCGTGTCCCGTATGGCGCTCTGTCTACGGCCCCATTGGTGACGTCTGCATGCGGGCTCACGCCGTCGTGGTCGTCGTCGTTGCGGAGGGCCCCCAGAGGACGGTTCCCACGGTAAGATATGCCATGGCAAATCACGGCTTCACCATGGTAACATCGGTTTTGTGTTTGATTTATGTTCCATCATGATACACCTTGACTTCATCATGGCCGATTCCGTCAACACAGAAGTCTATGATATCCCCATGAGTTGCTGGGGTTGGCACGCAGGGGGGCAGTTATCATCCCTGCGACTATGGGCGAGGACCCTCTGAGGGTTGAGTCCCAGGTGCCGAAGGCTGGTGAGCCAGGTGCCGAATAGTGCGGGCAGAGATCCCCCTCCCCGCCGAGGTCCTGGCGTCTCGATTTTTCGAGCCAGGCGCTTTCGCCCGCTTTTGTTTTGGGTCCCCAGGGACCCTCACGGATCGCTCCGACAGGAGAAATGCAGTAGAAATATGGGGTCTAGGGCTCCAGCTTTGATTTCTCACGATGTTGCTTTTTCCGCAACGTCGATCTCAGGGTTTGACTCCGGCGAGGTTATGCATGCATGGCACTTCGCTCCCCCATCACCTCCTCCTCCTCCTCCTCCACCTCCTCCTCCTCCTCCTCCTCCTCCTCCCCCTCCTCCTCCTCCTCCTCCTCCTCCTCCTCCTCCTCTTCCTCCTCCTCCTCCTCCTCCTCCTCCTCCTCCTCCCCCTCCTCCTTTTCAGACAGCGCTGGGCCGAAAGGGTGCGCAAGTGGGCCTCGACTTGCTTGAAGCCCACGTCCCCATTCGGGCCTCGTCACGCCTCCCCCTCCACGTCAGTAAACTTGCCAGAATCTAAAGGGCAACTGCCTATAACTGATGCAGATCCGCCTCGCCTCGTTCCTTCGCCCGCCCTTTTCTGGAATCCAAGACCTCCAACGCATTGAGACAGTCAAGGGGAAAAGGTCTTTCGTCGTTTCGGCTTCGGGGGGCCCTCAGGGGCCGGCCCTCTGGAGAGTCAGGAAACTGGCCAGGATGAATAGCCGGTCTGGGCAAGGGGGCCAGACCTCTGGGTGGCCACGTTGCGTAAAAAAACACGACGCCGGGGGTGTGAGATGATGCAGATCCGCCTCGCTCCTCCGCCTACCCCCCTTCCAGAAAGGAAGGGGGCAGTCGGAGGGGAACGGCGGGAGCCGTGAGATCCGGCGTCGCGAAAACATGCAACGCCGTTTCTCGGATCGGATCGGCACCTGGGGCCCCAACTCCGGGCGAAGACGTCTGCCGTGAACAAAAGGCGACGCCGAGATCTCGGCGGAGGAGGAAAGCGAGGTGGACCTGGACAACCTTTTTTACCTAACAGTGAAGACGGATCGGTTTCTAGTGGGCTCAAAAGAGAGCATCTTGACTCCCCAGGGGGGTCTGGGAGGATGCCGGGGAGAATCCGGGGACTCCCCGGGACTCCCCAGGGGGGTCTGGGCGGGTGCTGGGGAGGATCCGGGGACTCCCCAGAACACCATTCCCAGGCCACATTTTGAATGCCGGGAACCAACTGTAGGCCACTTCGTGTTCTTCGTGTTCCCAGAACACCATTCCCAGGCCACATTTTGAATGCCTGGAGCCAACTGTAGGCCACTTCGTGTTCTTCGTCTTCCCAGAACACCATTCCTGTACCATATTTTGATTGCCCGGAGCCAACTGTGGGCCACTTCGTGACCTTGGTGTTCCCAGAACACCAGTCCTGTGCCATATTTTGAATGCCCGAGCTGAGGCAGGCTGAGGCCGAGGCAGGCTGAGGCCGAGGCAGGCTGAGGCTGAGGCTGAGGCAGGCTGAGGCTGAGGCAGGCTGAGGCTGAGGCTGACGCTTTCTGAGGCTGAGGCAGGCTGAGCTGAGGCTGAGGCAAGCTGAGGCTGAGGCTGAGACTGAGGCGGAGGCAGCTGAGGCCTGAGGCTGAGGCTGATGCAGGCTGAGACTGAGAGGCTGACGCTGAGGCTGAGGCAGGCTGAGGCTGAGGCTGAGGCCGAGGCAGGCTGAGGCTGATGCTGAGGCAGGCTGATGCTGAGACAGGCTGACGCTGAGGCTGAGGCAGGCTGAGGCTGAGGCAGGCTGAGGCTGAGGCCGAGGCAGGCTCAGGCCAAGACAGGCTGAGGCTGAGACTGAGGCTGAGGCTGAGGATGAGGCCGAGGCAGGCCGAAGCTGAGACAAGGTGAGGCTGAATGGGGGGGGAGGGGGGGGGGAGGAGGGGAGGCTGAGGCAGGCTGAGGCCGAGACAGGCTGAGGCCGACGCAGGCTGAGGCTGAGGCTGAGGCAAGCCGAGGCAGGCTGAGGCTGAGGCTGAGGCTGAGGCTGAGGCAGGCTGAGGCTGAGGCAGGCTGAGGCTGAGGCTGACGCAGGCTGAGGCCGAGGCAGGCTGAGGCTGAGGCTGAGGCAGGCTGAGGCTGAGGCCGAGGCAGGCTGAGGCTGAGGCTGAGGCAAGCCGAGGCAGGCTGAGGCTGAGGCTGAAACTGAGGCAGGCTGAGGCATCCGTAGGAATCCATAGGAATCCTTAGGAATCCCTAGGAATCCTTAGGAATCCGTAGGCATCCTTAGGAATCCGTAGGCATAGTTAAGCATCCTCAGGAATCCTTAGGAATCCTTAGGATTCCCTAGGAATCCTTAGGAATCCCTAGGAATCCCTAGGAATCAGGATTCCTAAGGATTCCTAAGGTTTCCTAAGGATTCCTATGGATTCCTAAGGATGCCTAAGGATGCCTTAGGAATCCCTAGGAATCCTTAGGATTCCATTGGATCCTAAGGCCGTTGCCACTGCGACTGTCATTGCGAATGCGACTGCGACTGCGAGAACAGCAGAATTCTACAACTGGATTCTCACCTGAATCTTAAGGGGAATGCTTTCAGATATGCTTATACACATCGCTGTTAGGTTGCTTTGCCGGGATAACTTGCGTCGGCCGCTAGGCAGAGTGACTGCGCTGGCGGAAGGGTAAATGTTGGACGTGCAGATGCGAGTTACGCCGCGATGCTCGAGAGGAGGAGGGGAGGCGCCTGGCGTCGGCGGGGGGGAGGGGGTAGACCAGGCCTGCTCACAGCGGGGCCAGATGTTCCTGGACAACCACCCGATCCCCCATAATGTCACCCAGACAGTCCCCGATACAACTTTTTCGGTCCGCGGCCCCACAGCTACTTATCGACCCCTTTCCCGGGGGTAGTCTTGTGTCCCGAATCCACTTTTGCTGGTGCCGGGGCCCAGTGAGTGGCCCCGGATGACGAGATCGTTGGAAACGGTTGACTAACATCATATCGACGGCGATTTGGGGGAAGGACCCCCGCTGCGCGACTCACGGGCTTCACCGGAGGAGGAAGGGGGTGGGTCTGTACAACCATCCCATCCCTAATGTGGTGGGCGCGTTCGTTATGCAATGTGCCCAGGAGTTGATGAGGGCGACGTTGATATCCATGGTCAAGCCTCGATTGGTGTTCCACTGGCTTTCAGACCCTGGATTTCTTACCCAAGGTTTCCTTACCCAATGCCCTCGCCGTAAACGCAATCATGCGACGGTCCGCGCTGATTTCCTGGGTCTGCGCTGGACCCCCCTGGCGGCGACTCGGACGCCGCCCCTGGCGCGCTCCTCGCGCCATGGATGGGGTCCAGCGCAGATCCAGGCAGTCCGCGCGGACCATCGGAACTCGATGCTCGTGCTTTTCCTCCTTCCTCCGAGGATGCCTGCCTCCTCGTCCCAGAGGCTCCCGCTTGCCCTCCCGCTTCTGCTGCCCTCACCGCCAGGACCTCCGCTGCGCGACGCCCGGGCGATCGCCCAGCCCCCCGCCGCTGCCCGACGGCCTTGCCGGCCCGCCGCCGAGGGCCCGCGGGCGCGTGGACGCTGCCGCGGGCCCAGGGCCCCCCGCCCCGCGGGGCGCCGGCCCGTGGCCTCCGCCAGACGCCCCCTCCGGCCCTGGCGCGGTCGCGCCGCCGCCGCCGCTGCCTGGCAGCCTCGTCTCGGCTGCGCGCAAGAGGGACCCTGGGCAGGAGTAGAGTGGCCTTTGGCGCGCGGCTTGTGAGGGGGCCCTGCAGGGGCCCGATGCGAGCGCGCAGGCCAGTGCTTGGGCCCCCCCCCGTGAGCCCGCACCACAGGCCACTCGGGCGGACTGTCTTCTCCGTGGGAGGGGGCCGCTGAGCTCCGCTCCTGCGCGATGACACGGCAGTGGCTTGCGGCAGGAACGGCGCTGGGCAGCGTGCGTGCGCCAGTCGGGGAACAAATCATGCCATGCACCTAAAACTCTCGGAGGTCCGGCGAAAGGGGAGTTCTTACGTGCAGCCGATCCTCTCCGCCAACGCCCCCCGCGCGAGCGCCCTTGGCGCCGCCGGCGCCCCCTGCGGCGCCTCGGCCTGGGGCACCGCCCCTGGCCTCGGCGGCGTGCGGGCCCCGCCGGGCAGCAGCCGCGCCGCGGGCGAGGGCGCGCCCGCGGCGCAGCCGCGGCCGCCGCTGTGGCCGCCCGGCGCTCTCGGCGCCGGCGGCGCGCCTGCCATCGGGGGCATCGGCGGTGCCGCCGCCGATGGCGGCCTGCGCGCGGGGGCCGCCACCGACGGCTTCCGTGCCACGGGCGGCGCGGGGCGCACGGCGGCGCGGGCGCGCCACGCGGGCGGCGCAGACGAAGGCTCGGCGGGGGCCCGTGCCGGCAGCGGGGTCGCCACCATGCGTGCGCGCCAGCGCTTGTTGTCGTTGTTGTCGTTGTCGTTGTCGTTGTTGTCGCTGTCGTCGTCGTTGTCGTCGTCGTCCTCGTCGTCGTCGTCGTCGTCGTCGTGGTCGTCGTTGTTGTTGTTGTTGTTGTTGTTGTTGTTGTTGTTGTTGTTGTTGTTGTTGTTGTTGTTGTTGTTGATGTTGATGTTGATGTTGATGTTTATGTTGTTGTTGCTGTTGTTGATGTTGTTGTTGTCGTCGTTGTTGTTGTTGTTGTTGTTGTTGTTGTTGTTGTTGTTGTTGTTGTTGATGTTGATGTTGTTGTTGTTGTTGTTGTTGTTGAACATTATTAATTCTAAAGAATAATTATTGTTGGGGCCCCTGGTGCACGGCCCCCCTGCGCCGCCTAGGCCGCAGCTACATTTTCATCATTTTCGTGAGGAAGCCTCAGGTAAAACGATGTGATCCAGATCCGGTTGTTTTGTTGTAATCCGTTTTCCCTTGCAAAAAAAACACTATAAAATGACATTTCTTGTTCTAATATAATCAAATTTCAAGAATCCCTTGCAAAAAATAAGGTAAAGTGGACATTCGCGCGCGCAAGACGAAATCCTTCCAAAACCTTAGTGTTCGGCAGCGATTTTAACATAAAAACATCAAAAAACCAATGGTTTTTCAACAAAAAAATGTCAAAATCTCATCCCGCGCGCTCTTGCGGATTCGTAGGAAACCCAACACTTTTTAAACATTTCTGTCAAACGGGCTTTTGCGAGCAACTTTTTCGAACTTCTGCGACAACGGTTGCGCACCTGCCAGGGCCATCATCCCTGTCAAATAATACCATGCGGGACACATTCGTTTTTTCTTCGCGCGCGCACGCCGAAATCTCCAAAAACCATTGGGCTTCTTAAGAATTTTAGCACCGCGCATCATAAAATCACACGAATCGCACCGTAGGTCCTCGAAAAACTTCTGTGGGTTAACAAGGCTTAACAACTTCTGTGGGTGTACGAACGTAGGCTTAACAACTTCTGTGGGTGTGTACTCCACGCCAGTGTAGTAGCCACGGTCGTCCGCAGGCCACGAAGTGAAGTGTCCGAACGTCATAGGGCGGGAAGCTGGGTGTGGGTGGTGGCGAAGAGTCGTGTGGATATTTGGTAGAGCTTGCACTGCCCCCCCACAAAGTGGGGGTATTGGCTGGCGTCGCATGAAAACCCTGGCACTGGTGAGAACACTGAGCGTTCGGGTAAAGTGATTGTTGTTGTTGTTGTTGTTGTTGTTGTTGTTTTTTGTTGTTGTTGTTGAATATGCATTTCTGACAATTAATTATTGTTGATCTCCGGCAACGGTTCCGCGCGCTCTCGCCTCGACGCCGGCTACATTTTCTGTGAAAACGAGGCTCCCGCTTGAGCGTTGGCTTGAGCCTAGATGTGGGCCCTTGGAGGCCCAGCTACGACAGCAACGGCTCCCGCTCGATACTTCCTCACAGTTTACCCTGAGACACCCTGGCCAGAGAGGCCCCCGAACTCAGGAACGGCTCTCTCGCTCGAGACTTCCTTGCGATTCATTTTAGTTGGCGGAGGCCCAGCCACGACGGCAAGGGCTCCTGCTCGATACTTCCTCACGATTTACTCCGAGAGCCCCTGGTAAAGAAGGCCCCCGAACTCAGGAACGGCGCTCTCGCTCGAGACTTTCCCGTCATTCAGGCAAGTTGGTGGAGGCCGGGACACGGCGACAAGGGCTCCCGTTCGATATTTCTCCATAGGTATTCCGAGAACCCTTGGCCAGAGAGGCCCCCGAACTCAGGAACGGCGCTCTCGCTCGAGATTTCTTCGCACTTCAGTCAGTGGCCGACAAAGAAGAGATTCCCCTCGAAAGGGGGTGCAATCGAAGACGAAGTGGGCGGGTATCGAGGGTTGGGGTCTACGGAATGCAAGACACGCGTGCCAATAAGAGCGAACAGTTTTATCATGATAGTAGTAGTAGTAGTAGTAGTAGTAGTAGTAGTAGTAGTAGTAGTAGTAGTAGTAGTAGTAGTAGTAGTAGTAGTAGTAGTAGTAGTAGTAGTAGTAGTAGTAGTAGTAGTAGTAGTAGTAGTAGTAGTAGTAGTAGTAGTAGTAGTAGTAGTAGTAGTAGTAGTAGTAGTAGTAGTAGTAGTAGTAGTAGTAGTAGTAGTAGTAGTAGTCGTAGTAGTAGTAGTAGTAGTGTAGTCGTAGTAGTAGTAGTAGTAGTAGTAGTAGTAGTAGTAGTAGTAGTAGTAGTAGTAGTAGTAGTAGTCGTAGTCGTAGTAGTTGTAGTAGTAGTAGTAGTAGTAGTAGTAGTAGTAGTTAGTAGTAGTAGTAGTAGTCGTAGCAGTCGTAGCTGTTTGTTGTGCTGTTGGTGTTTGGTGTTGGTGTTGGTGTTGGTGTTGTTGTGTGTGTTGTTTTTTTGCTGTTGTTGTTGGTGTTGTTGTTGTTGCTGCTGCTGTTGTTGTTGGTGGTGTTGTTGTTGTTGTTGTTGTAGTTGTTGTTGTGTTTGTTGTTGCTGCTGCTGCTGCTGCTGCTGCTGTTGAACATTATTAATTCTAAAGAATAATTATTGTTGGGCCCCCTGGTGCGCGCCCCCCCCGCCGCGCCTAGGCCGCAGCCACGTTTTCATCATTTTCGTGAGGAAGCCTCAGGTAAAACGATGTCATCCCGATCCGGTTGTTTTGTTGTAACCCGCTTTCCCTTGCAAAAAACAACATAAAATGAAATTTCTTGTTCAAATATTATCAAATTTCAAGAATCCCTTGTAAAAAATAAGGTAAAGTGGACATTCGCGCGCGCAAGACGAAATCCTTCCAAAAGCTTAGTGTTCGGAGCGATTTCAACATAAAAACATCAAAAAACAATGGTTTTTCAAAAAAAAATGTCAAAATCTCATCCCGCGCGCTCTTGCGGATTCGTAGGAAACCCAACATTTTTTCAACATTTCTGTCAAACGGGCTTTTGCGAGCAACTTTTTCGAACTTCTGCGACAACGGTTGCGCACCTGCCAGGGCCATCATATCTGTCAAATAATACCATGCGGGACAGATTCGTTTTTTTGCGGGACATACACCGCCCCGAATAAGTGACCAAGTTCTGTGGGTGTGTACCCCACGCCAGTGTAGTAGCCACGGTCGTCCGCACGCCACGAAGTGAAGTGTCCCAACGTCATAGGGCGGGAAGCTGGGTTTGGGTGGTCGCGAAGAGTCGTTTGGATATTTGGTAGAGCTTGTAATGCCCCCCCACGAAGTGGGGGTATTGCCTGGTGTCGTATGAAAACCCTGGCACTGGGGAGAACACCACGCGTTCGGGTAAAATGATTGTTGTTGTTGTTGTTGTTGTTGTTGTTGTTGTTGTTGTTGTTGTGCTGCTGCTGCTGTTGTTGTCGTTGTTGTTGTTGTTGTTGTTGTTGTTGCTGCTGCTGCTGCTGCTGTTGTTGTCGTTGTGGTTGTTAAAATCCCACTGCTGCAGAATGCTTATTGTTGATCTCCTCTGCGGTGATCATGGTGTTGTTTCAATTGAGGTGCTTCCCCCGGAGCTGCCCCCCTTGTTTTTTACCAGGGAAGGTCACGTGGTTTAAACTGGGCCCGTGGCCCCTGGTTTACAACAGCAGCGGCTCCCGCCTGCTATTTCCACACAATTTATTATCTGGCACAGGGTGTCTAGAGCTCCGACCACTTTATTCCGCGTCGCACCCCCCCCTCCCCCCCGCGTCCCCAGTGCCAGAGTGGGACCCCCGCGCCGTGGCTCTCTGCCCCGAGCCCCCCCGCGTCCCCAGCGCCCCAGCGGGAGCCCCGCCCACTGCACGCTCCGCCACGAACGCTTTATTCCGCGTCGCGACGCACACCACCTCCCCCCCCTCCCCTCCGCGCCCCAGCGCCCCAGTGGGACCTCCGCCCCGTGCCCCCTCCGCTCCGAGGACTTTATTCCGCGTCGCGACGCACGCCACCGCCCCCCCCCTCCCCACCTGGGATTTGGGCCCCGTTGCTGGTCCCCGAGGGGCGATGTCTTGCCCCCTCTTCCCCATCCTCCTCCTCTACCTCCTCCTCCCCTCCTTTCTTTTTTGTGCAAGAGCCACGGCACACGTGCCACTTGTTCCCAAATCGCGCTCTCGCGCAGGACATCCCCACAATTCATGTACGCATCGCGCTCTCGTGTGGGACTTCCTCGCAATTTATTCAGACGAGGGCCGCGTCGTTGTCCGCGGTGGGGTTGGCGGCCGCGTCGCCCGTGGCGGCCCCGCGACAGCGGTGATAGAGCAATCGCTGGGAGGGCTGGAGTCGGCTGCGATGTCGAGGGGGGCGGCGGCGGCAGCGTGGGGCGTCCTTACTGTGGAATCCTCGACGCTGTGCGGCGAGGTCAGCGCGGCGCCTTCACAGGAATGCTGCACCTCCGCAGTGTTGGCGTCGGCGCCGTGGGCTGCCGCCGCGCCGTGACGGCGGCGGCGGCGGGGCCCCTGCGCAGGTGCCTGTGGGTACTACCCACGGGCACCGGTAAATCACCAGGAAGATGTTCAGCAGGAAGATCCTCAGAATGCTCGCCAGGAGGTGCATCTTCAGGATGCTCTTCAGGAGGCCTCGGGAGGCAGGTACATCATCAGGCACGTTTTCAGGTACATTTTTAGGACGTTCATCAGGAGGCTCGTCAGGAGGTACATCTTC